CCCGCCCAAGCCACCAACACTCACCGCCGCGAGCCAATAAAGCGCGAACCCGTCCGTCCAGCTCGCACTTAAGACTTCCGAGCGGCCGCGGGGACGCCAGTGCTGCCGAGGGACGCCTCCCCGCCGCCTCCCAGCCCGGTGCACCAGCCTCAAGGGCTCCGCTCCCACGCGGGCAGCCACGACCCCCAGTCGAGTGGGAACCGCCACGCGCGGTCTGTCCACGTAGCGTGGGTACGCCTGGGTGACTCCCCCTCGAACTGCCGCGCACTTAAGACTTCCGAGCGGCCGCGGGGACGCCAGTGCTGCCGAGGGACGCCTCCCCGCCGCCTCCCAGCCCGGTGCACCAGCCTCAAGGGCTCCGCTCCCACGCGGGCAGCCACGACCCCCAGTCGAGTGGGAACCGCCACGCGCGGTCTGTCCACGTAGCGTGGGTACGCCTGGGTGACTCCCCCTCGAACTGCCGGGTTTCTGCGCCCCAGCCCGGCCCCGGCTGCGACAAGGTGGGACGACCCCCGCCTCGGCTCACGGAAGCGCACCGCACCGGGCCGGGACGGTGAGAGGATGCCCCGCGCGTTCCTGGTGAAGAAGCCATGCGTCTCCACGTGCAAGAGGAACTGGAGCGAGCTCCCGGACGAAGAGCGCGGCGAGATCTACGTGCCAGGTGAGGCGCCGCGGGCTCGGGCGCCGGGAGGGCGGGGCGCAGTGCCCGCCGCCCCGTTAGCCCGCGCCAGACGACCCCAGTCGCCAGGAGCGCGCGGAGAGGGGTGGGGGCGGGGGCGCCAGGACGAGGTCCCGGCGCTCCCAGGCCCTGACCGCCCGCAGGCTGGGGCGCAGCGGGGTGTGTCACCGCTCGGGCGACCCTGGGGTCGTAAATCCAGAACCCGGACTGCCGGGAGGCGGGAGAGGGGCACTGGAGCGGTGCCACTCGGGCAGGGAGCTGAGTTTCGGGCAGGCTACACTGGAAAGAAAGACGCCCCCAGGACGCTGGTCCGGTCGGGATCCGGACGAGAGTGGAGGTGCAGGACCCCCGGGTTTCTCTGGCCTCCAGCGGGGCGGTCCCGGAGCAGGTGGGGAAGACACTCTGCTGTACCCCTGTTGCATCCCTCTTGCCCTGGAGACCAGCTGGGGTTGGGGTCCCACCCCTGTGCCGCCTTGCGGAGGACACACTGAGCACAAGGTGGTTTTGAGGAGTGCATCCCACAGCCAGGGTCCCGGCTCAAGGAAGCTGGTACACCCGGTGTACTTTGGGAAGACGCCTTGACCTGCGCCCGGGTCAACTTGGAATGAGTAGCCCTAGTTGGAGTTGTGGCTTCCCCCAGCAGCATCTTCCTCAGGTGGCTCCTGTCTTCCCCCACCCTCTACAAAATTCTTGGTCCCAAGGCCTGCGACTTTGCGACTCCCTTTTCCCGGCCTAGGGGGTGGGGCAGGGGTGTACAGCCCAGGCCTCCAAGGGGGGAGAGGTGGTAATTAACCAACCGACTTTGACCCTTGATCCGCAGGCTCTCTGGCACCGCCCTGGCCTTAATAAGTGGGGAAATGAAGATGGTGGGTGAGGGGCCTGTGAGGGCTCTTGCCTCAATTTCTCTCCTGAATAAGCTGTTGGAGACTTGGGTGTTGTGGTCAGAGCTTTGTGTCGGACCTGCCGGGGCCCAGTGTCTTGTACATCCAGTGGCTGGTAGGACCTTATCTAGGGGGCTGAACCGCTGTTCTGCAGGCTCCCTCAAAGAGGGAAGGGGCCAGAAGGCCCTGGAGTCCCAAGTGGGGGATACAGGAGGCAAAAAGGGAAGTGGCTTCCTCTTCAAAGACCTGAGGTGCGGGCTTGGGACTCTGTAGTTTCTGTCTCGCTAAGCCTCCTGGCTAGCTGGCCAGTGCTCCACCTCCGGAAGGCCCGTGAGGGACACAGCCCCTTCCTTGCTCCAGCCTCCTCCCCAACCTGTGTTTGACTTGCTGCTTAGCTGCTCCTTGGGATCTGATAAACTGAACTTGGACTGTGTTAAAGGTGAGCTGAGCCTTGAGCCTGGCTCAGTGTGCTGTTATTTTTAGTTTTGTTTCACATCCCAATCAGGAACAGATCATGTGTTGACTTTTACAAAGGACAAAGAAATTATGCTTGTTCAAATCATTAAGTCTTCCTTGGGCTCTAGAGAATTTTTTTCCCCAGCACAGATCTGCCAGCCACCGAAGAAATGGTGACCAAAGCCAGAGACTTGTGCCCCAAGGGCTGTCCCATCAGGTGGATAGGAGGCCTCTGGGTAGTCGCTGCCACCTGTCACTGCTGTCCTGGTGAGGAAACATGCAGACAGGTGCTCCCTGTTTCAGGATGGTCCAGGGTAGGAAATAAGCTCTTGTAAGCCTTTCCCCTCATTGGCCAAGTGAGGAGAAAACCCTGTGGGTGGAAGTCACAGGACTTAATTTTCTTTCTAAAGCCATGTGGCCCACTGGAGTTTTCCCACCGTCTTTGGAAATGGAAAAGGAATGTCATCAGTTCATGCTTGGATGCCTCTGATGGCTGCAGAGCAGGGGTGTGTGTTGTGGAGGCTTGTCTCCTGCCTGGGCCGACACCAGCGAACCGTGACCCCAGGAGCCGGCTGGGCACGTTTCCGACACCCTACTTTACAGACTCCTGGCACGTTTTGACCAGCTAAGCAGTGACCCAGTTCCTACTGGGAGGGCTGGGGAACATGGGAGCCGGCAAGTTCTGACTTTCCCGCCAGGGTTCTCTGAGACCCTCAAATCGTCATGGAGGCCACCTGAGGGGAAAAGGTTTTGCCTTGGGCTGAAGATGGTATGCTGCTGGGCCTGGCCTCACAACCACAGCAGGCTTTCTCCCTGCACAGACTTCTGGACAGTCTACTCGCAGGGTAGAATCATTCCTTTAGCCTCGCACTCCTGCCGCTGAGGGGTCATTCAAAGGCTGGTACCCTGCAGGAGAAAGAAGGCCAGTGAGGAAACAGCCTTATTCCTGTGGGAGATGGCAGGGTTAGGGATTCAGTTGGTTCCTCTCCACCTCCTCCGACCTCCCTGGTGAGAGACTCTACTTGGTTATGTCAGTGTTGACTGGAGTAATGGGGAAGGTTGCTGGGTTTGTTGAGAATGAGGCAGTAGGACAGTTACTCTGAGGCTAGCCCTTGCTGAGTGAAGTCATAAGTCTAGGAAGGGATTGAGGGACAGACTGAGCCTGACAGCTGGAGCTCTGGGAGAATTCTAGGGGCCTCTTGAAGGCTCCACCCCTGCCCCCCACATACCACCACCACCACTTCCGAGCTTCCCCTCTGGCTAATAGTACGGCTCCGATGGTCTGTTCTGGCAGCACATGCCCAAAGCTCAGAAGCTGGGTGTGGTGGCATGTACTTTTAATCTCAGCTCTTGGGAGGAGAAAGCAGGAGAATCAGGAGTTTAAGGATAGCCTCAGCTACATATCAAGTTTGAGGTCAGCCTTGGTTACATGAGACCTTGTCTCAAAAAACAAAGACATGCCCAAATCCAGGTTAGAAAGGCTAAGGTGCAGGAGCCCTGGGTCTCCTTCAAGTTAACATGGCCTTCCCTGGCTCTGCCACTAAGTAGTATAAGAATTTGACCACTCTTTCCAGGTTGAGTCGGAATGGCTGAAAAGTCAGCTTAGGCTTTCTCCTTAAGCATTCTAGTAACTGTTGTGAGTACTGGGCAGTGAGGGAGGGGTTTGGTAGGGAACAAGGCTGGGAGGGGACAGGCAGGCAGCACCTAAGATAGAAAAGGGACTTGGGCCCCAGGAATACGCTCAATGGGACTCTTACCTGTCCTAAGAGACACTGTTGCTCAAGCTGCTAAGATGTCTGTCCAAACTTGGATGTCCCAGGACAGAAACTGCCAGGCTGTGGCAGGAGAGCAGGTGAGGGCATGTGCTTAAGGCACAGGGTGGTGGGGAGCAGCTTGGCCAGGGCTGGTCTTTGCATCACCGTTTATTTTTTTGTATGCAATGTATGGCACCCAAAGAGGCACCCCAGCCATGCTGGGTGGGAGGGTAAAGGATGCCAGGCATCCTGCCATGAGGACCCAAGAGTATAGTCTAACTTCAGCCCAGACACTGAATAAAAAGCAGTTGGGAAAGGAGGACAGATCTTGTCCTAGAGAACTCTGACATTAAACAGAAGAGCAACAAAAGGCTGGGAGACAGGCCCCTTGTGTTCCTGGTGCTGCTGCATCTTCCAGCTGGCTGCTGCTGCTCCTTTTCAGGTGACTGCTAGCTGACCTGCAGAACTGAGGGAGCTGCACTCAGGGGGCCCAGCTCTTCCTGATCAGGGTGCAAGGCTGCCTAAAGCCAGCCTGGGATGTGCAGGCCCACATTCAGAAAGAGTTGACACCCCCCACACACACCAGCACCTGTGTGGTCAGCTGGGGACCCAAGAGACTGGGCATCCACACATGAACCTAACTTGCTCTCCCAAGAAAACTAGGGAGCAGGCCTCATGCCCAGCCACATCTTGAGGACTTTTATGGGCTAGGACCTGGCATTCTGTCCACTGCTTGGGCCAGTGCTGAAAGAACGGAGACTTGTGGAGGCTAAGGTAGGAGACAGGCCTTGGATGGACAGCCTTTGCATATCTAGTCCGCTGCTCTAGGTCAGGCCCATGACATCATCCAGTAAAGGCAACAGAAGGGAACCAGCAGTCCCTGAGGGTGGGTGGAGAGGGCCAGCTGGTTTGGCCTTGCCACACTCCATGGCTGTGGGTGGGCAATGCGTGGTAGCCACAGTAGCCACCGCCTTACCGGAAAGATCTAATTAGGGGACACAGAGCAGCACCAACAAGGCCCAACCAACCAGTTTTGTTTCCTGCCTCCTGCCATTCACTGACACTCAGACTGGGTGGGTAGCACACTGATGCACACTCCCTGTGCGTGCAGCCTGGTAGGGACACACTTGTGGGGGTGGCAGGGAGACAGGTTTGGTGGGATAGGTGAGATGAGGCAAACACCCCTCCCTGGCAGCCTCGTGGGCCCCTTGCTCAGGGTAGAGGCAGCACTGAGTGCTCATCCAGCAGGCTCTGCCCTCACCACTGTCCTCAGCACCAGCCTTCCCAGGTTTGTGTGAAGGATAAAGGTAGGCAGAGGCTGTTCCTTCCCGATGGGCTGCAGTCCTGAGACTCCCAAGTCCGAGCTTCCAGGTAGCCAAGTGTGACGGCTCAAGCTGAGTTCAGCCCAGCTCACCTTATAGGCTGGCACTCCACCCTTTGTGGCTCCTGCACCCAGGCAGAGTGGCCCGGCTGGCTTTCAGAAGCCTCATTCACACCAACCCAGAGTGGCAGACAGGAGATGGTAGAAATGTCCATTTTTTGCCACCTGGGTTGAGAAATGGAGACTGTCACGTAATTTCAGGCTTTCATCCAGGGCTGGTGAGTGGGCACCAGAGCCACCCCAAGTCTACTCTCTCTCCCCAAGTCCCAATCACCCAGGTCCTTCTGTAGGCAGACAGGTCTCTGAAAGCTGGACCCAGAGCTTGGGCCTGACATCAGCCTGCATGGCTCAGAGAGAGATGGGATGCTGGTTCAGGGCCCAGGCCAGGGCCAGGCACTGGTGAATCAACTCTTGGAATGAGGTGGCTCATTAAAGTCCCCCCGGACAGACGGACGCCAGTGCCAGCAGAACGAGTTCTGGGCGGCAGGCAGGCGCATTCTTCCCCAGGCAGACCTTTGTTGTGTTTTGAGGGGGCGAGAGCTGGGCCTCTCCCGAAACTCAGGTGCTTCAGAGCCACTTTTTTCTACCTTCCCCCACAGCCTGGTGCCCCGGAGAAGCTGTGAGGGCAGTAGCTCAGGCCTGGGTCCTTGTCCCTCCATTGGCATCTTGGAATGGAGGGTGCAGAGAGCCTGGCTTGGGGCCCTGAAATCCTACCTCCACCTTCTGAGTCCCTCAGATTCATTCTGTCTCAGGGTCCCTCCTGATTTCTCCTTCTGAAACTTGGAAATTGTTGCTAATGTATAGGTTTTTAACTACAAAGCATAGGTTGTACTGACTAGTTGAAAATATAATTGAAAAATTATACCGTTTGCCCCAGCTCTGTTGGCCTTACTACCTCTATGCTGCTTTTTCTCTCCTGTAAGAACTAAGGCTTGGTTCTCAGCCCAGCCTCCCTGGCCCGTTTAGTTCACGGTGTCTGCTAAGGGGAGCGGCCTTGTCAGAGGGCTGCCAGGTATCGGTGATGCCACTGCCGGAGGGAGCCGGGTCTGACAGCCACAGTGAGCGGTCCTGCTGTGGGGGAGGTTTGAGTAAGCATTGGGCAGAGCGCCCGGAGACTGTTACGAGCATCCACCTGCTGCTCCCTGACCTCCTCCCTTCTCCACCCACCTGGGCTGTTTGCCTGAGCATGGAGTCCTGATGGGCTGTGACAGCAGGGATTGGCCAGGCTAGAGGAGAAAGGGCTAGGGCCACCTGAACCCCTAAGGCTAGCATCTAAATCTGCTTGGAGGGGAGACCTAGAAGGGTCCTGATCGACAGGGACCCTTCTAGGGGCTAGGATGAATCTGAAGGACCGTTCCCTGGCCAGGGCTTCCTGTGGTGCCCTTTGTCCCTGGAGGAGAGAAGACGGGCTAGAATCCAGAGGAACTGGCCCAGGTGGGGCTGGTGGACACTTTGCAGGCATAATTGGCAAGGCAGTTTAGTTCTCCCAGTTCCGCTAAGACAAGTTACTCAGGGGCAGTGGCGCTTGCCTGGCGTCACCTGTGATTACTTTAATGGGGCAAGAGGGAGGTACAGTGTGTGCTGGGCTGGGGGCTACCCCGCTCACCTACATGCCTGCTAGGGGAGGAAAGGAGGCTGCTGGTTCCAGCCATCTTTGTGCGGGGGAATCTTTCTGAAACCCTGAAGAATTATCTTTTCTCTACCCACCCTCACCTGACTGTTCTTTCCCCAGTCAGCCTGGGCTTCTGCCCACCACAGCCCTACCAGGAGCCAGAGCCATCAGTGGCTGAACCCCCTTCCTGCCCCCTGGTTTTGGACATGAGCCTTCGGGACTCCAGCTACAGTGTGGCCCCAGTGCCCTGTGTGGTGGCTCAGCTGCCCTCTGAAGATGTAAGCCGCCTGACAGATCCCCAGAGCAGAGACCAAAGTTTCCTACGCACCAAGATGAAGGTAATAACCTCACACTGTCTTGGGGTCCAGGGGCATGCACAGAGGCTTGTGTCTAGTCCATGAGATGGGAGCACAAATGTGACCCAGGAGAGACTGATCTGGGTCCTAGACTGAGACTTGTGCAGAGAAGAGATGAACTTAGCTGAAGCACAGGAGGGGGAGAGATGTAGTTCTCAAGTGAGAGCATCTAACCCCTTGGAGTCTATGTCAGTGGGTGGTCAGCTTCATTTCTGACTACAAGAGACCAGGAGAGCTAGAGGAAGAGCCACCCCTCAACACAAAAGTCCCTAGGCCAGAGCCAGGCCCAGTTGCATCTCTTAGTACTATATAAAACACATCTATGGGCCATATCAAGGAAGAGGTCTGGACCATTGGGTCGTTAGCTGCTCCTTCTGGCATACAGCAGTGACCAGGCTGTGCACAGGGCAGGAACAACCTTTGCCCCACCTTGCTCACGTTCAGCAGCACTGAATGAGGCCGCACAGATGCCCCATCGCCAAGAAGAGCAAACAGCCAGTTCCCTGACTGAACCCACATTCCTGAAAGCCCTAGGACTTGGGAGTGCCCACCTGCCAGCAGTGATGTGGTGGAAGGGTATCTCTAGGGCCGCCCCTCATGCCACAAGACTGCAGAGGGCTGGAAGTAGAATGTCATCCCTCCTACCTGCAGAGGCCAGGTATGGGCAACTGGAGGGGACCAATCTAGGCAGGCTGTGTGGTTGGTCATAGCCATCAGAGCTCTCTTGACTTTGAAAGTGCCCCTCATCCTCTCTCACTGTCCCTTCCTCTGCTCATCAGACCCCTGAAGGGAGGAAGAGCAGAAAACAGAACAGGACATGAAAGGAACCAGAAGACTAGGTCCTAACCCAGAGAATTTTAACTAGCAAGAGACAGGGAATTCCGCTGGGTGCCAAAAAAGCAGGACAGAGGGACAGGTGCCAAGCGAGAGGTATGGTGTGACACACGGTCAGGATCTCAGGAGGAATGGCCAGTGGCAGGCCCTTCATAGAACACACACAGTCACTGAACGTGGATAAATTTGAGGGAAGAGACCTGGCCACCGGTAATGCTAAGCAGCACATTTTCAGAGGTGTCTGGTGGCACCCAGAGATTGCATCAAATGACCCAGGCAAGGGAAGGGACAGCTGGGGCAAGACCTGCACTCCTGCACCGAGCAACAGGCGTGGACTCATGACATTAGCCTTTGCACTACTGTATAAATTGAAATTTTCCATAATAAAAAAATATTTCTAGCCCAGTGTGATTACACATACCTTTAATCCTAGCACTTGGGAGGCAGAGGCAGGCAGATCTCTGTGAGATCGAGGCCAGCCTTGTCTACATAGTGAGGTCCGTTTCAAACAGACCAAAAGAAAAAAAAAAGGTTTCTAAGGCTGAAGATGTAGCTCAGAGGGTAAAGTGTGCTGGCCTAGCACACACAGAGATTAGGGTTGAACCCTCAGCACCACATAAACCAGGCAGGTATGGTGGCCCATGCTTGTATCCAAGTACTTGAAAGGTAAAATCAGGAGGATCAGAAGTTCAAGGTGACAGCCTCCAAGGGGCTTTGGGAACCCAACAGGAGGCTGGACCTGTACCCAGGGGTTCTTTGCGGCCCCTCTTAGTAAGTGACACTGACTGGGGCCTCTGAAAAGTGGGCTTCCTTTTTTTGAGCGCTGGGGGGAATGGGAAGGAGTTGGCATGTTTGTCCTCCTCATCTGGTAGGTTCTAGTCCCAACTTTACGATATCTGCCACAAATACTGTCCTTACCCACAGGTGACCTTGGGGGACAGTCCAAACGGAGAACTTTTTACCTGTCACATCTGCCAAAAGGCCTTCACCTATCAGCGCATGCTGAATCGCCACATGAAGTGTCACAATGACGTCAAGAGGCACCTCTGCACATACTGTGGGAAGGGTTTCAATGACACCTTTGACCTCAAGAGACATGTCCGAACTCACACTGGTAAGTGGAAGCTAATGGTCAGGAGGGAACACTTCAGACCTGCCTGGCAGAGGCAGTGTGGGAACTGGGAGGGAAATCTTGGAGCTTAGGGCAGTGTCCTCTGAGTTCACAGATGAAGACTTGTGATTCAAGAGTCACTCGGGAAACTGGCTGTTAGCCAGGCCTTAGTCCCTCTGCAGTCAGGTGCCCTACCCTTTCTGTGTGGATGCTTTAGACAGGCTCTACAGTCCCTGTCAGGTCCTGATGCTGACCCCTGTCACCTGTAGGTGTGCGGCCCTACAAGTGCAGCCTGTGTGACAAGGCCTTCACCCAGCGCTGCTCTCTGGAATCTCACCTCAAGAAGATCCACGGCGTACAGCAAAAGTATGCGTACAAGGAGCGCCGTGCCAAGCTGTACGTGTGTGAGGAGTGTGGCTGCACATCTGAGAGCCAGGAGGGCCATGTCCTGCACCTCAAGGAGCACCACCCCGACAGCCCGCTGCTGCGCAAGACCTCCAAGAAAGTGGCTGTGGCCCTGCAGAACACCGTTACTTCCCTGCTACAGGGCAGCCCCCACCTCTGAGGGACCAGGTTAACCGCACCTCCCTGCTGCCCAGGCAGTCCACCATCCTGTGACTTCTTGCCAGAACACCAGTGATCAGGACAGAGCTCCTGTGCCTCAGTCTCCCCCCACCCAGGCACACTGCTCACTCAGCCCAGCACTGACCTCTGCTTATTTTTGGAAGTCTGTCTCATTGGCAGAGGCCACTCTGAGCTTATGTGTCTGGGCAGGAGTGAGGCCAGGTGATTAAGAACAGCTGCCTATAAACAGGCTGTTTCCTTGCAGCAGTACTTTGGAGATGTGGCAAGAGGGGATCCTGAGTACAAGTTGGGCAGTGGGTCCCCCATGGACAGCAGAGTCACGACACTGGCAAACAGCATCCCCACAAACAACTGTGGGGGTGGCACTGGCAGCAGCCCACAGGCCTACAGGGCTAATTCTCAGGGTTCCAAAGGCTCTGCCTTTTCATCAGGGGCCCATATGTGCATAGCTGTGTGTGCACATGTGTCCCACTACTCTGTGTGTATGTACTTATGTGTACATGTGCACATGCAGCCTTTCCACATATCACCTCAGTCTTAGGAAACCAACCACAAGATGCCAAGGAGGGTTTATTTCCTTTGTTTTTTTAAGATGACAAATGTACAGATATTAATATATTTTTGGTGCCCATGGTAAAACTATTGCTGAGAGGGATGGAGCTGGCTTTTTCTCCACTCCCATTGGTTCTATTTATCCCGGACATTTCAAACCTCTGTGCCTTGGCTCTGGAGGTAGTTGTGCAGAGACCCACCCTGTTCTCTGAGATGTTCTACAAAAGACCTCCAGTCCAGCCCAGAGGACAGACTGCTCTCTCGGTCCTTCTCCTGGACAGCTCCTCACCGCTCCTGAGCTTCCTTCCCTGGCTTCACCTGCCTCCACATCCTTCTCCAGGGTCCAGGTTTCCTGGTGAGCCTGATGGTAGCTCACTGTTGGGTGTGGCCTGAGGCTGAGGTAGGTCCGGGCTTTTCAGCCAGGTGGGATGAAAATTCTCTGACACCAAGTCCAAGTCCACTGTCTGAAGTTCTAAGGCAAGTGCAGGACAAGGCTGGAAGTCTCATCTTTTTCTTGGGTAAGTCAAGAATCCTTGAGCAACAGCAAAATTTGAGACAGACTAATAACATACCAGAGGGAAGAGTCTTAAAGTTTCTCTGTAGCCTTTTTTTCTGTTTTCTGAGTGGCCCAGCTGAGGTTTTAAGTGCCTTTGGATTGAGGGGCTCCTCTGAGGGAGTGGGTCTTTGTCCACTGGTGGTGCTGGTTATCCTGCTGAGATCAGGAGAGGGTTGTAGGTCAGTAGGATACTATCTTATGGGTCAAAGGAGACAAGCAAGGGTTATAGCCAGCCTGCAGGGAATGAGAGAGACGGACTGACAAGACAGGCCCAGAACATCACAGGCAGGGAAGTCTCTGAATAGCAAAGCCCATCAACACTGCATGGCTGCACCTGGCCAAGAGACGATGTTTGCACAGATGCTGGATCTGACCCCACCCTCAGGCTGACTTAGGAGGAAGGAAACTTCTTAGACTGTCACTATCTCTGAACTATGTATAGACCAACTCTTAAGACTTACTTTACTTTCTGTATGTTCTAGAATGTAAAAATCACCTTATCTGGAAGTTCTTTGTTTACATTTCTGCAACTTTGAGTTCATTACCAATCCGAGGCAATCATGAAGCTGTGTGTTGTCTGTCTTATTTTATAACTTTCCTTCCAACTATTAAAGTCAAAGAACTAATATTTTCTGTATTTCTGGGGTTTTGTTGTGTTTTTCTCTTGGGCCAATTTTTCTCTCATGCAGATAAATTCATTAAAACAATGGCTGCTTCTATCCAAACAGTTGCCTTGGTTTGGATGGAGGACCTGGGTTCAGTTTCCAGCACCCACATGGTGGCTAACAACCATCCATAACTCCAGTTTCAGGGGATCTACCCCAGCTAGATGAAGTGAGTTACTAGGTCTCAGGTGGTCAGTGTCTGTGGATCCCAGTCCAGCCTGTCCTGCTCTGGGAAGGGAGTAGGGGGCCTCCCCTGGGCTCTCCTCACCTGTCTAACGTTCAGGTTTCCTACTGAGGGCATTCATTGACCCAGAGCTCTCAACCCTCTATAAATTGCCCGCTCTGGGGAGCAATTATCCTAGCCTCTTCCCAGGACCTTGTCAGGGTTGGACTAAAAGGAAAGGAACCATATCCCCAGTGGCAGGACACCAAGTCAGACCCCTGGGATGACCACACACAGTGCTTGCCCACCTCTGGTACACTCAGAAGCATGTTCCACAGATCAGCTCAACCTCCTCCATCCATCCTTAAGTAGGTCTGTCACTGCCCCTAAGCCCAGCAGGGAAATCAGGGAGTACAGTCTCACAACCAACTAGGAGCCAGCCTGGTTCAGGGTGTGCACCTAGCAACACCATGCACAGGAAGACTACACAGTCGGGCATTGCTAAACAAACTAGAAGGAAATTTGGAAATTACCTGGCTTTGCCCACCATTTATACCCAGTATTGCTCTGGGGCCCTTAGACTCTGAGTTATGGTTTGGGGTTCATGCAGGGTCCAGATGGGAAAGCAGGCGGAAGAGGAAGAAGAAGAGGAGGAGGGATTCTAGGCTGAAGTCACTAGTGTATACTCTGGGAGGTATGCAGAGGCTGGTACCAGGTACTATGGGGAAAAGGAAAAACAGTGATGGGATCTCCAACTCACTGTGAGAAGCTCAGAAGACTGGAGTGTGCCTAACCCTACCTGCTTCTTTAAACAGTAGTCATCGAGAATTTTTTCCTCTGGAGAAGCCTCATCCTGAGAAAGTCCAACCAAACTTCATTTACACATCCAAGTGGGGAGAGCCCATGGCTGGAGCTGTGTCAACTTCAGAAGGAGAAAGGACAATTTCCAGGGCAGGAGGCATGCCTGGTTCTAGGGCTCTTCTGAGTGTCTGCCTTTTCTCTGGCTCCTTGGGTAAGCCCAGGGTGGACCACCTCAGAAAAGCCCTCCCCAGCAGTGTTGGGCCAGATGGTCACACATCACAAGCTTTCAGGTGCTCCAGACTGAAGGGTGGAGGGTTCTAAGGGAGAAACAAGAAAAGTATAGGGTGATAGGCCTTGGCCAGGAACAGAGATGTGATTAGTGCAGTCAATATATAACCAAGAGACCTGGGTGTGGCGCACACTTGTAATCCCAGCACTGGGGAACTGGGGCGGCAGAAGCAGGAGGATTTATTTATTTATTTATTTATTCATTCATTCATTCATTCCTTTGTGTATTTTTGAGACAAAGCTCAAACCTGCTATTATAGGCCTGTGCCTCCACACCTGGTTTATGTGGTGCTGGGGACTCAACCCAGAGCTCACATGCTAGGCAAACCCTTTATCAGCTGAGCCACATCCCCAGCTCAATCCCTGATCAATCCATGAAACTTTTGAAGCCAACACCAGGTTGGTCTATGTAGGGAGTTCCAGGTCAGTGAGAACTCACTATTTTAATGAGACCTGTCTTTAAAAAACAAACAAGGAGTAGCCGGGCATGGTGGCATGCCTTTAATCCAGGTATTCTGAGGCAGAGGCAGGTGGATCTCTGTGAGTTCCAGGCCAGCTGGGCCCACAGTGAGACCCTGTCTCAAAAAGACAGAAAATAACAACAAACAAAAAAGGGGCTACAGAGATGGCTTAGAAGTTAAGAGCACTGGCTGTTCTTCCAGAGGAACTGGGTTCAATTCCCAGCACCCACGTGGCAGCTAATAACCCTCCAGTTCTAGGAGATCCAAAGCCCTCTTTTGGCCTCTGCTGGCTTTGCACACATGTGGTGCATTTACATACATGTAGGCAAAATACTCATACATATAAACTTAAAAAATTATAATAAAAAACAAACAAAAATGTAAGCTAAGATAAACTGTGATCAGACTTATGTATAAGCAGGAGAGAGCCTCAAAGAACAAGGCTTCTTGGGGGAGCTGGGGTTACTGCCAGAGGACACAAGAGGGTGACAGGATGGAAGAGGATACCAGGTGCTCTTGGAGTTCAAGGGTGGGATGGAAGACATGGAAGACAGAAGTGTGGGACAGAACAAGGCAGACCCACCGTGAACCCTCAGCCTGCTCAGATCCTTAAGCTGCAGACATTCTGCCTGGGGCCGGATAAGGACTAATAACAAAACAAGCTCTGACAGTTCCAGAGGTGGGCCTGATCCAGGAAGAAGGCAGGGCCCTACGCTTCTTTACCAGACAAAGTACCCACAATAGAGGGAAGCAAAGTGCTATTCGGATTTAGACTGCAGATTTGAATGCTTTTTAAAAACATTTTTACAGTGAGCATGTACTATTTTTACAAATGGAACAAAATAGGGACTGGAGAGATGGCTCAGCAGTTAAGCACACTGACTGTTCTTGCAGAAGACCCAGGTTCGAATCCCAGGGCCCACATGGCAGCTAACAACTGTCCATAACTCCAGTTCCAGGGGATCTGGCAGCCTCCTCTGTCCTCTAAGGGCACTGCACAACATGGGTACACTTACCTACATGTAGGCAATACATGAATACACATAAAATAAAAATAATAAATAAAATATTTTAAAAAACAGATGGAACTAAATAAACTTATAAAAAAATTATGGGTTTTGGGCTGGTCATGGTGGTGTATGCCTTTAATCCCAGCAATTGGGAGGCAGAGGCAGGCAGATCTCTGTGAGCTCAAGTCCAGCCTGGTCTACATAGTAAGTTCCAGGACATCTGGGGCTACAGGGAGGCCCTGTCTCAAAAAGACCAAAAAAAAAAAAATTACAGGTTTTAGGTAAAGTTCAACATGTCAGTAGGGAGGTGTGGGCCCCCCAAACCCCCCCAGAAAAGAACAAATTCTATCTTAGTGTTATCAGAAGTGTGGTCTCAGGTGGGCAGAGTGGAACATATCTGTAATCTCAACACTTAGAGGCTGAGGCGGGAGGATCTGGAAATTGGAGGCCAGCCTGGCTACAGGGTTAGTGGGAAAGGGCCAGG